AACATCTTTATTCTTGTCCCAAACTGTGTTAGTACCATCTGGTGGAATTGCCTCACCAAGGATGGTACTTCATCGCGTGATTTCATCAGGTAAATCATATCGAGAGAAATCATCCACAAACAGGGGAAAATAGCGATATCCGCCCATAGAGGGAACATGATAAGGGCCCCACACATCCGAATGAATAACATCAAAGGGAGAAGAACACCTTTTATTACTAGGTTTAAAAGAGTGTCTACAATGCTTTCCAAGTTCACAACCCTCACACTTCAAACTTGACAAACTCACAGACTCAAACAGTTTTGGAAACAAACAACTCAAAGAAGAAAAGGATAAATGACCCAAACGGTTGTGCCAAAGCATAATCTAACCCACAGATTTTGACTATCTCTGCAAACATGATGGCTTTGGTGAAGAGGGAGAGCATCCAGGAGGTAGATTCCATTCACTTCACAACCACTCCCAATCGTCCTCTTTGAATCCAGATCCTGCAAAATACAGYGTCCARGAGAAAAAATCACTGAGCARTTCAGATTCTTAGTCAAACTACTAACARATAACAAATTARTGCTCAATCTAGGAACATGGAGGACAGAGGGTAAGCAAATAGAATCATTAATCTTGACAGATCCCTTCCCAACAATAGGAACATGGGATCCATCAGTTGTGGAGACCCTATCTCTGCCAGAACAGAACTGATAAGAGGAGAAAATAGTGGAGCAATGGGTCATATGCTCTGAGGCTCCAGAGTTTATAATCCAAGGAGATCTCTCCTTACCTGAAGCAGAAACATAGTTTGCAGTGACATGTGAACTACCTGTGTGGGCAAAGGAGGTAGAGTGAGCTCCACCTATGCTACTTGTACCTTGTTGTCGGCTTACAGCTGAACTGGAACTAGTTGTATCCCTTTGATTYAGAAGTAACCCAAACCTCTCAAGCTCGGCCCTTACTGCAGCAGCTGCAACGGACTCCAAAGCAATTGTAGTAGGGGGGGCCGGAGTATCACCGGTAACTGCCATGTGCGCATTTCCTTTCTTATTCTTCAATCTGGTCAGCACAAGATGTGGGTGAAGCTTCCAACAAGTGTCTCTTGTATGCTTAGGCTTCTTACAGTAGTCACAGACCAAGTCCCTTTTGTCTTCCTTTTTGTTTTCATTGCCATTATGTTTAGA